TAGAATTATCATATCAAAATGAACATTTGGTAGTTAAATTATATAAAATAAATCAGTAAATTAAAAGTTTATCAATTTTAAAAATTAGAATATATGAATAATTTTTAAAAAATATTATATAAAATTTAATTGGTTAATAAAATATTATGTGTAGATAGGTGGAAATAAAATTTTAAAATTTATTAGTAACCAAAAATTATATAATTTCTGGAAGCCTCTTTACAAAATGTATTAATAACAACAAAGTGAATTAAAAATTTAACTAATTCTAAATCTAAAGGTTTACAAAAATCTTTACTTACTTTCAATCTTAAACTTATATAATTATTATTTTCTACTAACCTAGCAATTTATTTTGTTAGATCAAGATTTAATAGCTAGTAACAGAATAAAAATAATATTTATATATCTAAATACCAACTAAGAGCTAGCCTAATCTTATCTTCATACTCTTAAAATTTATAATAAATTGTTTATAAGCCTATAAAGCTACATCAGCAAATTTATAGGTGCAAAAAATTACAAAAAAATTTGTATTATAAACAAATTTCAAAAATATGCGTAATAAATTTCAAAATATTTCGAAAAATAATATTTTCGAAAATTTTCAGTAAAAATTTCGAAAAATTTCGAAATTTATTTTGCAATATTTTATTTTAAAATATTTTAATACAAAATATTTTGAATATTATTAATCACGTTTACGAACTATTGCAGCAGATGATAATCTCATTCTGACGCATGTTTATTTTTCGATCTTTTTTTTTCGATTTTTTTTTTTTCACTTTTTTTTCAAACTCTTTTTTTGACCTTTTTTTTTAATTTTTTTTTTTTTCGAACATTTTTTTTCGACCTTTTTTTTGAACTTTTTTTTTTTTTTTGAACTTTTTTATTCAAACTTTTTTTTTTGATTTTTTTTCTTTTTAGATTTTTTTTTTGTTTTAATCTAGATTTTTTTTTTTACTAACTGGGATTGAAATCTTGAATCCGGAACTAGTTCTAAGATAAGTAATAATTTACTTTTTTTTTTGTTTTGTCATTTTTTTAGTGCTGTTACTAATAGTTTCTTCTCTTTTGTAGGTCTTGTGCTTCGCCAGAAAGGGTTAATAGAGACTGGAATTGAAGATATTGGCCAGAACTGGTACTAAGATAAGTACCAGTCATAATTTTCTTTTTTTGTCATTTTTTTTAGTACTGTTACTAATGGTTTCTTCTCTTTGTAGATCTTGTGCTTTATTACGAAGGGTTAATAGAGACCAGGGTTAGAGATTTTGAACTGGAACTGGTACTAAGATAAGTACTAGTCATAATTTTCTTTTTTTTATCATTTTTTTTAGTGCTGTTACTAATGTTTTCTTCTCTTTGTAGATTTTGTGCTTCATCAGAAAGGGTTAATAGAGATCGGGATTGGAGATCTTGAACCAGAACTGGTACTAAGATAAGTACTAGTCATAATTTTCTTTTTCTCATCATTTTTTTTAGTGCTGTTACAGATGTTTTCTTCTTTTTGTAGATCTTGTGCTTCGCCAGGAAGGGTTAATGGAAACCGGGATTAGAAATCTTGAATCAGAACTGGTACTAAGATAAGTACCAGTCATAATTTTCTTTTTCTCGTCACTTTTTTTAGTGCTATTACTAATGTTTTCTTCTCTTTTTAGATCTTGTGCTTCGTCAGAAAGAGTTAATGGAGACTAGGCTTGAGATCTTGAACCCGGAACTAGTACCAAAGAATTGTACCAGAATGATATTAGAATAGGAACTTCTGGAACTATTCAGATAAGTTTTTTTTTTTTTTCTCTGTTTTGTTTTTTTTCTGAGAATTTAACTAATTTTTGTATTTAGGTCTTGGTCTAATAAAAGGCGACTTGTATTGGAATAGGCAAATATGTCTGGATTGTTGTTTATTTTTTGAAGCCCATGTTTTCAAAATAATATTTCTCTAGCTCCATAATTCCAAAATTCCTTTTTTCCTAACAACTGACAGTTTAGTTCACCAGCATTTTATTTCATTATATTTCACTAAAAAGTAATTTTGATTATTGCCATTAGGGTTAGTTTAGAGTTTAAATTAATTTAGCGCAATTATAAGTATATATTAGACAAAATAGGATAGCTATAATTATGTAATTGTTATAGTATTTAATAAAAAAAACTTATCTGAATAGTTCCAGAAGTTCCTATTCTAATATCATTCTGGTACAATTCTTTGGTACTAGTTCCGGGTTCAAGATCTCAAGCCTAGTCTCCATTAACTCTTTCTGACGAAGCACAAGATCTAAAAAGAGAAGAAAACATTAGTAATAGCACTAAAAAAAGTGACGAGAAAAAGAAAATTATGACTGGTACTTATCTTAGTACCAGTTCTGATTCAAGATTTCTAATCCCGGTTTCCATTAACCCTTCCTGGCGAAGCACAAGATCTACAAAAAGAAGAAAACATCTGTAACAGCACTAAAAAAAATGATGAGAAAAAGAAAATTATGACTAGTACTTATCTTAGTACCAGTTCTGGTTCAAGATCTCCAATCCCGATCTCTATTAACCCTTTCTGATGAAGCACAAAATCTACAAAGAGAAGAAAACATTAGTAACAGCACTAAAAAAAATGATAAAAAAAAGAAAATTATGACTAGTACTTATCTTAGTACCAGTTCCAGTTCAAAATCTCTAACCCTGGTCTCTATTAACCCTTCGTAATAAAGCACAAGATCTACAAAGAGAAGAAACCATTAGTAACAGTACTAAAAAAAATGACAAAAAAAGAAAATTATGACTGGTACTTATCTTAGTACCAGTTCTGGCCAATATCTTCAATTCCAGTCTCTATTAACCCTTTCTGGCGAAGCACAAGACCTACAAAAGAGAAGAAACTATTAGTAACAGCACTAAAAAAATGACAAAACAAAAAAAAAAGTAAATTATTACTTATCTTAGAACTAGTTCCGGATTCAAGATTTCAATCCCAGTTAGTAAAAAAAAAAATCTAGATTAAAACAAAAAAAAAATCTAAAAAGAAAAAAAATCAAAAAAAAAAGTTTGAATAAAAAAGTTCAAAAAAAAAAAAAAAGTTCAAAAAAAAGGTCGAAAAAAAATGTTCGAAAAAAAAAAAAATTAAAAAAAAAGGTCAAAAAAAGAGTTTGAAAAAAAAGTGAAAAAAAAAAAATCGAAAAAAAAAGATCGAAAAATAAACATGCGTCAGAATGAGATTATCATCTGCTGCAATAGTTCGTAAACGTGATTAATAATATTCAAAATATTTTGTATTAAAATATTTTAAAATAAAATATTGCAAAATAAATTTCGAAATTTTTCGAAATTTTTACTGAAAATTTTCGAAAATATTATTTTTCGAAATATTTTGAAATTTATTACGCATATTTTTGAAATTTGTTTATAATACAAATTTTTTTGTAATTTTTTGCACCTATAAATTTGCTGATGTAGCTTTATAGGCTTATAAACAATTTATTATAAATTTTAAGAGTATGAAGATAAGATTAGGCTAGCTCTTAGTTGGTATTTAGATATATAAATATTATTTTTATTCTGTTACTAGCTATTAAATCTTGATCTAACAAAATAAATTGCTAGGTTAGTAGAAAATAATAATTATATAAGTTTAAGATTGAAAGTAAGTAAAGATTTTTGTAAACCTTTAGATTTAGAATTAGTTAAATTTTTAATTCACTTTGTTGTTATTAATACATTTTGTAAAGAGGCTTCCAGAAATTATATAATTTTTGGTTACTAATAAATTTTAAAATTTTATTTCCACCTATCTACACATAATATTTTATTAACCAATTAAATTTTATATAATATTTTTTAAAAATTATTCATATATTCTAATTTTTAAAATTGATAAACTTTTAATTTACTGATTTATTTTATATAATTTAACTACCAAATGTTCATTTTGATATGATAATTCTAACAAGCCCAAAATCATTAAAATCCAATCACAGAGTTCTAAGACATTCAACTTTTGTGTAATTTTAATAGTGATTTTTTAGAATTATTTAGTAAATTTTTTAAAAATGAATAACTTTTGATCTATTAGTCTGTTTTAAATAATTTAACTACTAAAATATTCATCTTAATAAGACAATTCTAACAAGTTCAAAATCACTAAATTCTAATTACAGAATCTCAAAATTGATAAAAATTTTTTTTTTTTTGTTATTAAGGTGAGGCCTTGCTCATATCTTTATTAATAGTTTTTAATATAATAACTATGATGAGTTATTAACCTTTAAATATATATAATATAAAAAGTAAAAACTACATGTAAAAATAAAAGCTCAGACTACTTTATCTGTGACCTAAACCTACTAGAGTGGTCAAAGACTCACCTAGATTATGAAATTGATAAAAATTTGTATTGTTAAACAATTATTTAATTTATAGAATAAATATTGATGTTACACCCTGTTATATCAATTATTTGTTACATATTACATAAAATTTAAAATTAACATTACTTGAATGTGTGCCAGGTTTATAGTACAACACAAAGTCTTTAAAGTTCGTTCATATTTGAGTTAGGGTAAGTGTTATGCGCTAGAGAAGAGGAGCTTGTATTGTAAAATTGCTCACCGAAAACTTTTTGTTAGAGCAGCAAAGTGGTTTCTTATATAAAATTTTGAGAAGTAAGTGAAACGAACATTTGTTTTGAAATTTCTTGCTTATGTTATGTTGCACCTGACACAAACCTGGCACACATTCAAGGGGTGCATAAAATTACGTTATGTGATCTTACGCGTCATTTATTTCGCAAAATTTTTTTGACTTAAAGTAACTTCTAACAACTTCTAACAGAACCTACCTATATTGTACCATCTTTTTAGCATTTTGTGGATTTCTTTACTATTCTTTATATTTAATAGAACCTAACTGGTCTGGCAACGCGTCAACGTTCTTCGGATATTTTTTTAAGGATACTATTTGTACATTTACAGCTAATAAATTCGAAATTGAACGGGTAAAAGCAACCTCTAAATATGGCAGAACAAACGGTTAATGTTGAATCTAGTACCTTCTACGTGGTCAATGCTGAAGTTAGTATCTTCAACACGGTTATGTCAGATCAAGTGAATGCTGAAGCTAGTACCTTCTACACGTTTAATGCTAAAACCAGTTCCTTTTACGTGATGAATGCTGAAACCATTGCTGCCTCTTACATAGTTAATGCTCAAACTAATATCTCACATGCTGTTGACACTGAAGCTAACGCCCCTTACAAAAATGCGGTTTATGATGAATTCGAAGCCTCCTGTGAAAACGCGACTATTGGAGAGGTTAATAAAGGTATTAGTAGTGCTATAATGTGAAAATAATAAGTTGTTTTAATTTCAATTTTAATACAGCATTTCAACTTTTTAGAGACGTCTTCAAGTGAGACATCATATGATTTTTCTTTGTTAAAAGTTGGATATACTTTCTGTTCATGGGATGATGTTGACTTATTTCTTAAAGCTTATGATCAATGTAATGGATTTTCTATTATCAAAAAAAGGGTTGAACAACATGGTGATAGTATAATTAGGCATCGATCTTATGGATGCGAATTTGGAGGAAAGTACGTACCTAAAAAGAATATTGACATTAATACTTATCGTAACCAGTGATCAAAACATCAAAGATGCGAATGGCATATCAACTTGAATCTTCCTAAGCAATCTACTCATATCACAGTCACAACATTTATTAATACCCACAACAATCATGAACTTCACCCTGAGAATAGTAAATATGGTGCAAAATTCAGGTCTATTGAAAAGGATGCGCTGAATGATATTGAATTTTACACAAAAAATGGAAATCTTTCGATTACTGTTTAGCGCTGATTGTTAAAAGCCAAATATCCAGATGCGACCTTTCTAGATATGGATCTCGCCAATGCAATTCAACATTATAAAGTCAAATCTTGAGATCTTACAGAAGATGCTTCGCATCTTCTATCATTTCTTATTGAGAAACAGGAATTAGGCTGGTGCGTTGAATTCGAATTAGATAGCAATAATCGTCTCATCTGGCTTTTTTGGATGACTCTTAAGCAATTATCTCTATGGCTTGAATACCACGATATAATTCTTAACGATAATACATCCAAGACCAATCGATATCAAATGCCGCTTAGCTTATTCCTTATTGTCGATAATAACATTAAATCGTGTTTGGTGGCACAGGCACTAATTTCTGATGAAACAATGGATTCTTACCAATGGATTCTACAGTGTACTAAGAAAGCTACGGGCGTTGAACCTTTGGTTTTTGTTACAGACGCAGACCCAGCGATGGATGGTGCACTGAAATATGAGTATGAAAATACTTATTCTTTACACTGCATTTATCACATCAGTCAAAACCTTCCAAAGAATTTAAAGGCAGCATTAGGAAATACATATGATTTGTTCAGTAAAGAATTTTTTCGATGTCGTAATACCTTGGACAAGACTTTATTTGAATCAAAATGGCAAAATTTACTGGAAAAGTATCTATCTGCTTCAAGTTATTTGACATGAGTTCTTTACTCTAGTCGCTATTCATAGGCCTGTGCCTTTACCTCAAAAGTTTTTACTGCTAGAGTCCAAATGACATCACGGGTAGAAGGGTATGTTGTAAATTAGAATGAAATTTAATTTAAAATTTGGTTGAGTTAGGGTTAGGAGCATATGTTATTTTAGAAATGTGTCAGATATTCGTTGAGATCATATTTGAGCTTTAATTTTGCCTGCTTTTTTGTTTTAGGGTGTTAGCTTAAATCTGTTTATCACTAATTTGAGTTTGCTTATTCGAAATTTTAACACTAAGTTTTTTAAGTTTAAGAATTTAAATCCAATTAAGTTTTGTTCTCACTTATAACAGATACAACAGCATTATCAAAAGGGTATTACACAGCAATAGTAGTTTATGTGATCTGTTAAAAACCTTGGATTCACGATTAGAAAAAGAGGCTGAATGGAACCGTTTTTTCGAGTATCAGACTCTATCATCATGCGTCAGGATTGTATCTGTTAGTAGTGAAATATTTCCTACTATAGACCATATACTTTCAGAATACTTGACCCTGCATATGCTTTCTATTGAACGTATTGAAATGGCTCAGTGTTTATATTTTGATACAATATTGGCCGACTTAACAATGGTTGGATTAGATGATGAAGATGAGAATATAGAAGACCGATTTATAGAAGACATTTATAATTTGAAGCAAATACTGCTTAAATCAATGATTTCGCAAGTTAACCAAGCCAATATTAAAGAAATTTGGCAAATTATCAACAAAAGACCGGATAACATTCAAAAAAGGCACTTTATTGTTGTAATGGATCCTATTTCTTATTTGTGTACGTGCATGTCCAACATATCTCGCAGCATTATATATCAATATTACTTTCAAGTAATGTTAGTGTCAACAATCTCTGGATTTCATATTAGAATGGTGGTATCGCGATGGTACTATGATAATAAAAAAGAAGCAACTGACCAAGAGAATATGGTTTTCTTAAATAAGGATGCTAGTCAAACTCAACATAATCAAGTTATATCATTGATTCCTCAACCACTTACCATTCCTCGTTCTGTAGCAAAAAGTAACTAATGCGCAGCAGTTTGACATTCTAAATTTTGTGAAATATGGGGGCTTGCACGGCAAGCTACACAGCTTGCTATTGAAAACGACAATAATGAGATAGTTCAATGGTTAAAGACTTTCATTAATCGAAAAAGGCGCCAGCTAACACAAGCTGATGAATCTGAATCTGAAGAAAGTGAAAAGAAAAACAATTTGACTGTTGCTAATCCACCAATTACTAAGTGCAAGGGCAGACCTGAAACTAAACAATATAAGGCTGCTATAGAAAAAACTGAGAAAACAGAGAAAGCACGTCATCAGCAATATACTTGTCAAAGCTGTGATAAAACTGTGCATAATAGTGTGAGATGTTCTAAAAAAAGGAGTTAATACACAAGTATTTTGGAAGTAGATGTATGATTGTTATGCAATTAATATTGATTAATTTTTATGACTGCAATTCGAGTGTAATGCATATTAGAATGGACATATAGAAATTTGTAGTATATACAGTTAACAAAACGCTTATATTTAACGCAGTGTTTCTTTAAGGTTTAATATTTGCTATATTAGTTCTTTTATATTAGCGTAAGTGGAGGTTATAAGGAAATCGGCCATTATACATACTATTGTAATTTCATGTGTCTGTTCTAATTATAATACTGTATTCATTGCTTTATATATGCTCCAAAACTCTGGGTTTAATAATCGTTTATTGAATTTCTAACCTTAAGTTCTTTTTGGTCAGGAAAGTTTTCTCTGATCTTATATTGTAAATAGAAGCAAAATTTAAATTGATTCGGGTTACTAAGAGTTAGGATTAGATTTTGGATAATTATTATGTTCCAATTCAAATTAATTTCAGTTTCATTTTTATTTACAACATATCTTATAGGCGTGAAATAACACACATGGGTATAATTTCGAATTTCAGCCTAAATTAAGCTTAATTCAGGCCAAAATTCGAATTAACGTCTCTGCGCGTTATTTCATGCTTATTTAGTATGTAACTAAGTTTCTAGTATAGATGTTACTAATGCAATAAATTCGAATTTCTTAAAAAATAATATTTATTGTTTGATAATATAACTTCAAATTAAATAAATCACGTGATATAAATAATATTATTATTGGTGACAAATTATAAATATAACATGATGTAATAAATAAATTTTTCCTAATTTATATATAATTAAATAATCATTTAACAATACAAATCTTTATAGATCTTGGAATCCTGTGATTAGAATTTAGTGATTTTGGGCTTGTTAGAATTGTCTCACTAAGATGAACATTTTGGTAATTAAATCATTCAAAATGGGTTAATAAATCAAAAGTTATTAAATTTTAAATAATTTATTTAATAATTCTAAAAAATTACTATTAAAATTACATAAAAATTAAATTATCTTAGGATCTTGTGATTGGATTTTAATAATTTTGGGCTTGTTAAAATCATCTTATTAAGGTAAGCATTTTGGTAGTTAAATTATCTTAATTAGCTTAGTAGATTTAAAGTTATTAATAATTTTATAATTTTATAATTTTAGCTAAAATTATTTTATAATTTTAGTCAGAATTATAAAATTTTGACTAGAATTATAACCTGATATTTTGAAGATCCCATCCACTCATTCAAAAATTACATAATTTCTGGAAGCCTCCTAATCTAATATAATATATATATATATTTTTTAATATTAAGATGACTTTTAGGAGTTTAGCATTATTATTATTATTTTTTTTTCACTTAGGCAAGATCACACTAGTGATCGATGTTTAATAAAGCTTTAATCTTATGGATGACTACAAATATATTGCTATAACATTAAACCTATGATCCTAACATCCTTCGGTTGCTCTAACGAGTGCCTATTAGCAACCTGCCGCATCGATGAAATAAAACCTAAGTAATACCCTAATCAGAAGGCTTGTCCGATCTACCACTCTACAATAGGATATCACCAATCTGATAACATCTTCTCGTAGAGAAGTGAAAAAAAAAGAAAACTATATATAAAAAAGGGCAAATCTATTTGTAACTGGCGGTGACAGTTCCGAGCCAATCAGATTGCAAGATTAGGTATGACAAGAAAATTTAAAAAAATTACAAATCGCAATAACTCAAAATTATGCCTATGAAACCATCATTTGTGTACTAACAAAAAATGTTTCTTGAGACATTTCACTATATAATAAACTTACTTCTAACTCTAAATCCAACCTTAACCCAAATCCGGTTACTGTCACCACTGGTGACAAGCACATTTTTTCTATAAAAAAAACACAGAGATATAGGGGAATATGATAAAAGATACAAACAAGAAAAGAAAGAGGTAAGGAAAAAATGAAAAAAAAGAAAATATGAGATTTTTCATCCACACCGAATGGTCACAATTATAAGCCTGTATCAGGCTTTGTAAAAATTACATACTACTATCTAAACTAGTCTCTACTCTAATTTAACTAATTAGTAAATTTAAGTGAAAACCTAAAAGAAAAAAAAGCTTTTCGACATCAGCACCGTACTCTAGCACTATAAGCTCTCCAGTTTTTTTTGTTTAAACTCCCATAGAAGTGTAAACAAAAGCATGCTTCGGGCACTATAGAGAAGTCAAAAATTCGCACAGTTGGTCTCGAAGCATTGTTTGTCCAAGTTGTCACTTCCGAGGCATGTAATCCATATATCCACATTCTATAAGTATCCACATGTTTGTTGTGACAGGAAAAAAGTAAACAATGCCGACTGATTTGGTAAGTAAACGATATATCAATCTTTTGAAGGGGATAAGCTAAATCACCTACTTTTTTACAAAATTTTCCCTGAAAAAAAAGTGGAGGGTCAACGAGAATATATGAGGTTCTTCTTGTAAGTTTTATAGTTGTATAGTCCAGTTTCTTAATATCTACTCAATATTCCTGCCCAGAGACTCTTGCTCTATTTGTTTTTAGAATAAACCTTCTAATTTGGATGTCAAATGTGCTAAGGAGTCTGTCAAAGAAAGGAAAACTTGACCTAGGCACAAATCCGCCTAATATTCTTATACGCCTGCTCCTCAGTATTTCATGTATTGTAGACTTTGTCAACAACAAGTTTGCTTAACACAAAACCAGGAAAATTGTTGTGTCTACTATGTTGCTTTTCTATATCACTGACTGTAGTTCAGTAAATTGTTGTTGACCAAGTGATCATCAGAAAGAGTTGTTTCTTCGAGGAGTCTAACATATTTTATTAACTTTATAGTTTAAATACCAGAGTATACTATATGAGTACTCTAACTTTGTTATATTAACAAAAGTATTACTACTCTAATTAACTTAATGTCATTAGATATTCTCACTGAAGAAGAATTGCTATAAAAGCTATTAGAACTTTAAAGTAAACATACACTATCATATAGTGAGTCCTTTATCTTTATAGTAAATCTATTAGATCGGTTTATATTTTACATATATATTATCTAGATTTTCAGTAACTTATGTTTAGACCGCAGTTAAGTACTTGCGACATTTATCTCTATTACTATTACTTATTTCTTGCCTTTGCAAAGTTTATTCAAACTCTAGCACCCACTTTATAGCTATCAACAGTACTTCAATGCCAACCATTGGTGTCTAAACTTCTAATTCAAATAGCTCAGAAGGGACCAGTAAACATCCTTTGATATTCTGAATAAATACCTTTTCTTTCAGTTATCTGACAGCCTGATTGATGTAGTGCTTTTGACAAATACTTGGTCCTTGTTCAGTTTGCCTTCGGTATCTGGTTCCTTAGATGATAATCTTTTATATAGCATTATCAAAGATCTGTGCTACCTATCTATTCAAGACTTCACAAGCGAGTTTTTATATCTTCTAATCTCTTGGATTTATTTAACTACTTTATTTAGAATTCATATAATTCATACATTGCACTATATTTTACAACTTCCTAATACAAGTTGATAAGATTAAGGTTATACAGTAAGTGCTAACCTAATCAATATGTTATACAGTTTTATTATAACACATTCTGTAAATTTAAATTTTGGCATTGGTAGAATTTGAACTTTTGCCTTACTATTTGGGATGCAATAACTTATCAACTATACTAAGTTGCTACACCTTTTCTAATACAGTATAATATATAATACTAAGTTGCTACATCTTTTCTAATACAGTATAATATATAATTTACAGAGATAATAAAAGATAATAGCAGGTTTAGACTGCAGAAAATTTTGTCTGAGTCTTTATTTATTTATTTTTTTTTAATCTTCAAAAATGAGGCTATGCCTCTATCTTTATTAAAATTTAATTAAACTTCTTTACAAATTAAATAAAGAAATTACATTATTTGAACTTTATATCTATAAAATACTAAGACTAGAGACCTAAGTCTCTATTTTTAACATTCTTTGGATATAAATTTATATGTAATTTCTTTCTTATAAATTTTCTTATAAAGATATTTAATCGAGTTTTAATAAAGTTAAAGGCATGGCCTTACCTTAAAATTCAAAAAAAAATAAAAATAATAGTTTTATAGGTTTGAAAATAAGTGAAGTTACCATTGGTCACTGCTTACAGTATCTGAAGTATTATTCAAGAACTTCATTTTTAAAATTGAATAGTACTCATGGATATTGTATAAAGAATCAGGTATTATATTTGGAGACATATCATATTAAAAGTAGTAAATCAATATAGTTGTACTCCCGGGTAACAAGCCAGTAAGAGTAGTGAATAATACTCAGGTCTTAATTATAGGAATATTATTTTTAGAGGATACTATAAGCAGTAGCTAACAGTAATATTAAATCTACTTTTAGTTTAGAATTAGATTAATATTATATTAATTTTGTTTTTATTTATAAACTTAGCAATCTAATACTATTTTTTTTATAGAATTAGAAGATAATATAAATCTAAAAGTAAGTAAAAATAATTCTGGGCCTGTCTTGAGGCTTAAATTAAATTAGTATTTATTTAATTCAAATTAGTTACAAACTTGATAATCTAATGATAAATTATATATAGAATTAGCAAAAGATAAAGGTGTTATAGATTTAGAAGTAAGAAAAAATAATAAAGGTTTAATAAAAAGTAATAGTAGTATAAATTTAGATTTGAAACTACAGAAAGTAGATCTAATATAGTATCAAATTTTGGATCAGGTCCTATATTCATTAAGTTTTGAAAAAAGTAAAAATATAATTTTTTTTTAGTTCTGAATTATATTATTAGTAATAATTTGTTTAATCTAATATGGTACTTGTCTGAGAAACACTATTTTTAGACTATATCAAAGAAAGAGAAGCAAAGGCAGTATACATTTTAAGAAAAAAAAAGGCCAAATAAAGCAAGTAGCAATCATCACTTTTGAAAATGAAACAGATTTAGAAAAAGCA